AGTGTTTTCTGTTGCTTACTTTTATGAATGTGATTTAACAATAGAAGTGTGCATACAGGAGGACAGAGGTGTGGGAATTGTAAATGAAATTTCCTAAATGAAGGAAACGTGTTGAAGTGAAGTATATTGTTGGTCAGCTGTGAGTAAGCATTGCTTTTGAGTTGCCAATGGATGGGTATCTAGTATCTGGCATTACCTGTATTCTCAAGACTCTGTGCAGAGACTGCATGCAGCAGATGCAAATTGCTGCTTACATAGCCTGTCATGTTAGGCAGATGGAAGATTTTCTCAATTGCCTGTGAATGTTCTCACTTCTGCAGACCCATTGAAAATACAGGCAAAAGGGTGCAGTGAAAATTAGTTGTGACATTGTGCTCTGAAGCCTCAGCTTAACTAAGAGCTTAATGCTCTTTAGAAGGAATTACTGATTGCAGCTTATACTGGGAAGCAGTTTTTAATGTCTTAAAGCAGGGTCCCCTTTCTAGTATATTTTTAAAAAAGTTGGCATTAACCCTTCGTGCTTGGATTCTTTTTATCCCTTACCTTAAAGACAAATATTTGTGCTTACTGTTGTGATTCTACAAAGCATGACAGAATGTCTTTGATTCTGCAGAGGACATGTGGAAATGCTACATCACTTTCTGCTTAGAGAGATGTAACAGGAAAACCAACAGTGAAGAATTAAAGCAAAAGGTAAAAGGCCATTAGGAGATCATAGTACCAAAACAACCCTGTTTTTACAGGCTTTTGTTCTCTTTCAGACAAGGAGTTAATGTTTGAATGTTTTATCAGAAATAGTGACAAGTAACTCTTAAAAATCACTCAGTCTCTGTCTGAGGGAAGGCGTGTTACCATTAGACACACATGGGCTGCCTGAATGTGGATACCTCAGGCACAAATCAGCCTTGTCAGTGAAGTGCTATGAGCTCCTTGTATGGAAGTTGAGTGCAAACTTGTAGTTGTTCTGTGTGGCTTGGTTCCCTTTTACTACATTGCTATGTTGTTCTTTGCTCCTCAAAGAAGAGGTGTAATTCAAGTGCTCAAATTCCACCTTTATCTTGTAAATAATAGGAGTGTGTAAAACATCAGGTTTATAAATTTTATTGGATTTCAGTAACATTTTGATACACAAATCCACTGGGTTTCTGGTAATGCTAGGATCTTGTTTTTGAAGGAATAATGCTTATTTTCCTCACTTTTTGTTCTAGAGGCTGGAGAGGACACTGAATGTGTTCAGCAAAGCCCACGAGTCCAGTTTGCTGCCAGAAGCTCTCTATAAGCAGTGGGTAAGAGTTGGTTCAGAAAAATAGATTGGTGGACTGTCCTGCATTGATGCATGCCTACCTTTGCCATTTTGTGTAATTAACAAAGTAGGCATTGTTGTATTCAAGGTGTTTTTAACAAAACACTGCACATTTCTTGTGCTATCTGCTGTTTTTTTAGCTTCAGCTGTTACTGAAGTCCAGCCTTTCTCAGAAGGCTGCAGAGGTGGCAGAAGCTGCAACTCAGCGTTTCAGCCTGTCAGTGGAAATGTGGCAGATGAGGCTGCAGGTGCTGATCCAGCTGAAGAGTGACAACGTGACCCAGTGTTTTGAAGAAGCCCTCAAGCATGTGAAATCTAAGGTTTGTGCTGGTTTTATGGACTCGCATGCATGCATCAGGTGGAAAATCTCTGCTACTTTTGTAAAGGATTTTTTTCCTTCATAGTGCACTTAGATTCCCTGGCTGCTATTTAGGTCTATTGCACTTTCAGGAGCACTGAGGAATTACAAATTGTTTGTGCGTGGGGTTTCTTACTTCAAGCTTTAAATGATTTACATGCTTTTTTGCTGTTCCATTTCAAACTGGGCTACAAGGAGTGACAGAGGAAGCAAGAAGCTCATTTGTTCCTTCTCCTCCCTGTTCTTTTAAGTTATCTCTGTATTTCAGTGCTGATGAACAAGAATTTTTCTCTCATTCCTGGCAACATATCTAGCAGCAGTCCATCTAAGTAGTATTTGTTACGTGAATTAGAAAGGAGACAAGAAGGGATTTCAGTCTGCAGTTTAAAGTTCTTTTTAAGAGCTGTGTCTTAAGGATAGTTTTCAGAGAAGCAGTAATGTAGAACTTGGTAATTACCTTGCTGTCTCTGAAAATCACTCTGAGTTGCTCTATTTCAATCGTTTGACTTCTGTGTTTATCTTGTAGGGCACTTTACCATTGTGGGCCCTCTGGGTGGAGTGGAGTGAAGTCGCAAATAGCAAGGAAGACACAGAAGCTCTCTACCAGGTACTTGGCTAACAAAAATCTTCATAAGGTGATGTTTAAGTAAACAGGAGCTGTGTGTGCGGATGGAGTAGCTGCAGTACAAAGCTTTTGCTGCATACTTCAGTGGATGTGTTGGTATCAAAGCATTCCAAGTAAAGCTGTTTTCAAAAGTCAGCTGTACAGAAATGCTATGGAATATTGAAGGAGACATGTTTTAGATTACAACTAACATCGATTTTATTACAGAATGCTGTTTTTTCAGACATTATTTAGAATGCTTTTGTTAATACTTTCTCACACAAGGCCCCATGAGTGTCAGGTGTCTGGTGAGAGAGAGAAGATGCTGCTTCATCCTTCTTGTAACCTTTTAATTGTAGCTTATGTAGTTTTTGGTTTGTTTTAAATTTGCAGAGGTGCTTATATGCCATAGCTCCTGCTGAATCTGTGACTATGAAAGAAAAGTATCTTGACTGGGCTTACAGGAATGGTGGATATAAGAAAGTAAGAAAAGTCTTTACCAGGTAACAAGAAAACCACTTTAAATCTGATTATTCTAGGGCAAATAGCAAAGAAAAAATGGCATAAAGTTTGAAGTTATTTCTATTTTTACTTTAGCCTGTATGAAAGTCGTCCACTTTCACTTGACTTCTTCAGGAAGATGATTGAAATAGAAAAGGAACAAGTAAGTTGCTGAATATCTAATTACTGCCTTGTATTTGTAAAATACACTTCTAACTTTGATATGAAGTTAAAGGCTTGTGAGCAGTGTCTTTTGTAATCAATATTTACCTTCTGATGTTGATTCATAGTATACAATATAAAAGCAAGTTTCATGGTAACTAATCTTCGGCGATGTGTGTGTGTGTATTACCATGACTTTCACTTTGTCAGAATGTAATCAAGCTGCAGACTCACTTCTGTACAAAATGAATGGCCTTTTAATACCTTCTTGTGTTAGGAATCGTGCAAAATGCTTCATCTGAGAGAATACTATGAACGTGCTTTGAGAGAGTTCGGTTCAGCAGATTCTGGTAAGGAGATTTTCTTCTCCCTCCCCAGTTCAGTGCTACCTCTTTGATTTCTGTTTGGGGGTTGGGGGCAGTAGCTGTTTGTTCTGCTGTTAGATTGCTATCATGCAGAGTGGAGCTCAAATCTTCAGTGCATGACACTCTGCAGTGAGCCCACACTTTTCAATCCGGGGCCTTTGTTCACAGTAGGATAGCTTCAGCAGAACTACCAGCAAATAGTAGTTTTGACACTGGCAGGCATAGGAGATGCTCGTCACCTTTCATTTACATTTGTGAACAGTATGGAGCCATGTTTTTGTAATAGAAAATAAATAGCTCAATTTCTCTGATGGCATGGGAAGCTACTGCTGAAGAGCTGCATTGTTTCTTAAGATAGCAGAACCCAGGCTTTTGAACTTCAAGGGAGCAGGAGGAAGAGGTTTGATCAACTAAACCACACTGCACTAAGATGAAGAACGCTTAGAAAAAGAGAGTTTCTAGGTTAGGTTTAGTATGTTTACTAAATATTCAATCAAAATCTAACCAGAATGTTTTTCCTTTAAAGATCTCTGGCTGGAATACATCAAGGAGGAGCTGAGTCATCCCCAGGGCAAACCAGAAAACTCTGGGAGTATTCACTGGCGAGCTATGAAGATGTTAGAGGGAGATCAGGTGGAAGACTTCATTTCCAAATACACTTTACTGCAAACTGGACACTTATGAAAAACTAAAAATAATTACAGCACGACATTGTGGATTTTTAAAACAAAACTTGTGTAGAAAGGTAAATATGTTTTGTGATATTAAAGTGCATTTTCTTTACTGCATGTGTGAAAAGAATTCTGTCTCAGCACAGCTGTTGCTGGTGTTTCTGTCAGTGTCATGTTCGTGTGCACAGCTGGAGATGGCAGAGGCATCTCTGAGCTTTCCTCCAGCCTTGTGCGTTGAGATAGAAGTTGCAATGCATCAGCTTTTACACTGGCAAACTAACACTGCAACACATACATACAAAATAAACCATTGTACCCCTGGGGGCAGTTCTTAACATCAAGTTCAGTAAGGAAAAAATGGAACACTGGATAAACAATCTGTAAAATGATGGTATTTATTTGTTTCTTAACCTTGAAGTCATGTATCATCCTCTTTGCAAAAGCCAAACAACTTCTACAGCCACCTTGTCTCCTCCTAAGTAATTCTGAGTGACTGTGCACAGTGCAGGCGAGCAGAGCTCTGTCGCAGATGTTCCTGCTGTGACGGGTAAGCTGCGATCTGTGCTTCAACCTTCTGGTGGATCTCTGCTCACAGAGCACCTGCAGCTCCATCCCACCTGCATGCATGTGCTTTTGCTGTGCTCTGCCTTCCTGCTTCCTTCTGCCGATTGGACAGAACCCCAGGGAGCAGGGGCAGGTGTCGATCCTTTTACAGCTGGGTGAATCCTCCTTACACTCTGATTTATCCGCTTGTTTCTGCTTTTTTTTTCTTCCCCCTCTCTCCCCTTATCAATGACTGGAGAAGCTTTCCAGTAGCAGTGAAAGAAGCTACGTATCACGTATTCAAAGGCAGTTAACAGCGTGGTGTCTGCGCAGATAAGGCACGTAACCGGTTGCTCCACGTGCCAGCCGTACAGCGGGCCGAGCCGCCGCACCGTGGCAGCCGCCGATCCGCCTCCGTCAGCGGGCGCAGCGCAGCGGGGCGCAGCTCTGAGGCGCGAGGGGCCGAGCAGGGCGGGCACGCGCCTGACGCGGGGACAGAACTGCGCTCGCGGCCGCTGCCTCCACGCTGCCCGGCCGCCGCGGTGGGATCCTGCGGGGCGGGAGCGGTGTAGGGCCGGTTCGTTTCTACCGTGCGGGGAGAGGAAGAAGAGGAGGAGGAGGAGGAGGAGGGGCCGCCGGCGCGGAGCTGCCCGACGTACGCCGCGTTTTGTCCGCGTTGCGCGTTCCGGCTCCGTGCAGCAGGCGCGTGCCCGGGGCTGCGCGGGCAGCCTGTCGTGCAGAGGTGTTATCTGTGCCTCAGTTGTCTCTGAGGATAACTTCTGTTTTCTTCGCTCTCCCTCTAGGGACCATCAGAGCCGTTGAGGTGTTAGCTCCTGCTGTGTGTCCTCCATCTTTGTCCGGTTCCTTAGGGCTGCTGGCAGCTCTGGTCCCGCTGTTTCTTAGCACAGCACCTCGCACGAGGTGGACAGCCCATAACCGTTGTTCTTTATACACACACAGCTGCCGCTTAGGCCTTTGTTACCTTTGCTGCCTTTTCTGGTTGCTGTACCACACGGGTGCGTTCTAGGAGCTGTTCCCAAAATTTGGTGTGCATGAGCTGCCTCGTGCTGCCAGGTGTGAGAAAGATCCTCCCTAAGGCTGTCTGATTCATTAAGAGAACCAACAGATGGTACCCGAGGGCTCCACAAAACCAACAGCACTGCAGGAGCCTCGCTGGAGGAGTCTGGGAGAGGAGTAACTGAGTTCTCTGAAACTGCTTTGTAGGTGATGGCTGCCACTCTGGAGCACAGAGGCTCTGAGGAGCAGCCTCCTAACAAGAAGGAAACTATGACCTGGAAACCCAGAGATGTTAAGCCTAAAATATTAGGGCAAACTAAAGCAGATGGTAAGTAACAGAACTCCTGTTCAGGGAAATGTTCACAGAAGCTGCAATGGAAATCTTAGTTACTGTGCTAGATAATTTGTACTTAGATATTTGTGTATGCCTATGTACAGGAGTGTAGGGGAGCTGCTAGGTCCTGGCTTATACTGGTGATTGAGCACCTGGTGAAGTCTGGCCCAGGCACATTGCTTACACCTGTGCTCCCCGTGTAACTAGAAGGGCTGGACGCAGGGTGCAGCCCCCCATGGACTCTTAAGGGGGCCAGCCTCGAACAGGAAAGCTTCTTTTGGACCTTGGCTGCTTGTTGCGGGGTTGTGCTGTATGGCCAGAGGGCCCTTTCACCACTTGGGTGAGTTCTGTTCTTTCTGTGAATGGCTGTTGCTCTTCCTGTGAATACGTTGCCTGGAATCATCGAGCACTTGTTGGAAGAAGTTTTGCTTCTTCGTAAGTGGAACAGAGAGTATTTAATCAATGCCACAAAAAGGAAGTCAGAGCTGTGGTTTTTCAACATATGTAAATAAGAGCAGGAAAAACCCCAAGATAAACAAGATACAAATGCAAAGAAGGTCTGCTAGCTCCTGTGCTCTGATTTAAAGAGCAATATTCCAACAAGAGTCCACAAAAAATCCTTACTTGGGCTAATGCTGTGACATAGGGCTGCATCTGATCTCCCCAAGCACCTGAAACCTGAAGCAGCACATGGAATAGGATCTAATTACATTAGTAGTTACAAACAATGTTAACACACTTAACTGCATTATTCAGTTGCAGGTGTTTAATTGTTCCTGTTTAATTTCTAATTATCTCTTGGCTCTTTCTGTTATTTTTAGAACATTTGCTGAAGAATGCCCTGTGTGTTCTTGATAGTGACTCTGAAGGAAGTGAATTCTCCGATGTCTCTGCATGTGAAGATGCTGTCAGTCTGCATACAAACACTGACGTGGAGGACTTGTGTGGTGAACTCTCTCGTATGTCTGAGGATGCAACTTTCCCTCAGCAGCCAGCTGCTTTGACATATGAGATGGAGGACTGGGATAAAGAGTTGGAGGAGTCTGAATGTAGTCCTTATGGTAAGTACGAATTTATTTGTGATTCATTTGAGTTTTGTTTGGCATGTGGAGGTAGATGCTCTATAGAACACATCTGAAAATTTCCATGTTCTGTTTTGGGGATTTTTTTGTTTGTTTACCTCATGGGTTTGTCATGTACAGTTTGGTTGCCAAATACAGGGCTTAGAGGCAGTGTTGTGAAGTTTGTGTGTAACTCCTGCTTGAGCAATTCTTGAGAAGTGGAATAGTTCACTTCTGCAGTGAAGGTCAATATGCATAGACAGTCCTTCTCACTATTCCAAGGATTGTCCGTACGTATTGAGCTTCACCTCAGAAATCAACACTCTACTAAAATGCATCTGTTAATCTGGAACAGAAGGGAGATTCGGCAAATGTTCCTTTTCTCCAGGAATTCAGCCATAGTGTCTCTCAAGAGCTGGACTTTCTGAATGTGAAGCGATGCAAACACTCAGTCTCTGCTCTAAGTGTGATTTGTTGGTACTTTTGCTTTGTTATGTGGCAGAGTGCTTTTTTTGGTTGTTGGTTTGCTCGCTTGTTTGGTTTAATTCCATGAATGGCTCTTTCATTTTTGTTCTCCACTTCCGTAAGCTGGTAACAGGAGGAGCTGCAGCCTTCTTGTGAGATTGTTCTGATTTTAAAGTGAAAATAGAGTAGTGGCTTTATATGCTGGGTAACCGTAGATAAGGGCTGGAAGTGCATACACTGTGCTTCCAGTGTCTGCTGACTAGAAATATTCTGCTTCTGTGTAAAGAGTTAACCAACTTGGCATAAAAATAGGGTAAATTAACTGGTTTATTACACTTAATTCTAGACTAGTGGAGGTACTGTTGTGAGCTGGCTTTTACAGGACTCCACCTTTGTCCTCATCCAGTGACACAACCTTTGGGAGACATCTGTGCTCCCTAATTTGGAATGTGGTTATGGAGAGAACAGGAAAAAGTAGGGAAAAAAAGCATGATAGCTTTATGAGCCTTCTATGCCCGAGGAGAAGAATTGCATGCATGTATATGCTGGTGTCAGACGTACTGGATTCAAGTACATCACTGCATTTTTCAGATAACTGTTTTGTCTCTGTGTCAGGAACTTACTCTCAATGAAGATTTTGCCAATCTCAGCTGTTTGCTTTGTTGGTAGATCTAAGTGCTGGTAGATCAGACTGAGACTCTGGACTGGAAGATGCTGCGGAACTGCAAGATGATCTGCCACTGGCTTTCTGAATATCTTTTGTGATATTTTCTTTGATCTTTAGATGCTGGTGATCTCTACTGCGGAAGCTTTCAGGAAAATAATCTTTTGGCCTCATACTCATTTCGAGAGGATTCACTGTACAACCCGTGCTGTCACCATGCAGCTTGCCTTGCTTTTCCCCTGCCAGTTAGAATGACTGAGGTTGGCCAGTTTGATGATGCTGATGAATGAGGTCAGAACTAAGTTTGGTTTCTGAGTTGGATTATTCTTCACTGAGTTGCAGGTGCCAGCTGTAAGCTGCTAGCGCACTTGTGGACTGTTTTCTGTTTGTGTTACATAGAACTGTGTTGCTAATTCATTGTTTGGGAGGAAGTATGTAATTCCTAATCTTACCTTGATTGCAAAGTGTTGCCAGTTTTGGCATGTTTGGTACTTTCATGTCTGGACACTTAACCTGTAATTTTCTTTCATTTGTTATGGAATCGATCTTAAAAACTCTTCCTCCTTCCAACTTCTCTGTTGTACTTCTGTGTTGCAGTTTGCATCTCCACGTTAGTCATGACAAAATTAGATGTGACAGTACAAAATAAGTTCTTCTGGTTTGACATGTTTCAATACAAAGGAATTTGCAAAACGTCTTCATGTATGTAACACACCTGTAGGCATATATTTGGGATTTTGTTTCCTACAGAGATGCTGGGTGTTTGTCAGCCTCCCAGGAAAGGTTTCTGCACATCAGACCTTGTGCTCAGGTGTATTATCTTCCAGTCTCCAGTAGTCTGATGTTGTGTGAGGATGTTTTAAAGACATGTAATGACAAAGAAAATATGCTTATCTGATCCTCAGTGCATCCTGCAAACAGCAGTGAATTGAGATTCATGGTATTACTGATACTTGTTATTTCTGTGTTGATAAATGAGGAAATGAGAACACAAAATACTTCCATAAACTTTCCAAGAGAATAGCTGGAACTGGAACTGTATTCTTTTTGCCTGTGCTTTGGAATTAAAGGAAATGTTCTCAAATGAAGAATGGAAGTGGATTGTATGACTGACTTCTTACAAAAACAGTCTCTTGTTGCTCATATTTCTTCTCAAGAACGTTTTGATGACTTTTTTGACACATGCTGAAGCACTGTACCCTTGTTTATTCTCAGGCAAGGACTTAACACAATTGGAAGACTTTTTTTTAACCTATCCGGTGTGTGAGACTAACTTATGTATTAGCATGGGAGGAGGAAATGAGCTGGAGTAACATTTGTTTAATGTTTTCTTTGAGAGCAGAGGAAAACAAGAGCTCAGATGAGTCTGTTTTTTTTTTTCTGTTACATGGGAGTCCCCAGTTAAATCTGAGTATGAGGTGAAGAAGCAAAGCAAAGAGCAGAAGCTGGCTGGTGATTCTGTGGCTGAGGGCCTGTTCTTTTGTTCCAATATGATGGAGTCCTCCAAAAGGTCATATTTCTGCCAAGACTTAATTCAGCATGCCTCCAGAACGCATACGTACACAGAAGCATAGCCTGACAATTTGTTCTTGCCTTGAGCAGAAAGAAAGCCCTAGCTGTGCTGTGGCACTGGGGGTATTTTTCTTTTGTGGGCTGCTGTGTGATCAGCTGCTTGTTGAGAGGAGTTCTGCATTAGTTGGAACAAATGCTTGCCTAGGCTTGGATACGTAGTGAGTTTTTCTAACCTGAACAAGAAGAATAAAACTCTAAGTGTGGCTGACTCATTCAATTCAATACTAATAAATATGAGTCAAGCACAGATTAGTAAGGTAAGTATATACCAGTAAATTGTGAAAGTTCATTTTGTTATCCTTTTTGTCAGTTTCCCAGGCCTCAGCTGCAGATGTTAATGCCACCCTGCAGAGGGCAGCAACAAATGGTTTATTCTGTTCAGTGCTTTTATCTGGTATGAAGTTTCACCAGCAAGTGTCAGATCCTTAGGCTGGATTTCTAAGCCCCGTTATCCCGTTAATCAGTGAGACTGATTAATGGCCCTAATTAGCTTCTCATTTTCTGTTTTGCTCTGAAGTTATACTTAGTAGATGGAAAATTTCTCCCATGGGTGAGAAAACAACCTCACTTGACTGGCTTTGTATTTACTATGCTTGTGAATCCCATCAGAATTAATCAAGATGAGGCCAACAGAATTCTGTGGAAGCAAAGCCACCTTTCTCAGAGTAGGCTTGAAGGAGATCACCAAGAAGTTGTTATTAACATAGATTCGGTTGGTTTTAATTCCTGTATGATTCTAAAATTTTACCTTTAATTGGAGTCAGCCTCATCCTTCTGGACTGTCATTATTTGAGAAGAAATTAGTTGTCCTGAATGGCTGCCCTGCTAAGCTGTGTTTTAATTGATGTTTGGTTCTCAGAGGTGTTTTTGTATTCTGCTACTTTCAAGGAAGAGTCAGTAAATCAGGGACGCATCGTGCTGGTAGGGAAGAACATATAAATGAAGATTGCAGGTTTGGTTTCAATTGCAGCTCATTATGTCACAGTCTGAAACTGGACAAGCAGTAATCTGAAATGAATGCACAGCAGTGGGGCCTGTGAATGCTGCAGTGCTAATTCAGAAGTCATTGCTGCTCTCTGGTCTGGTGTCAGTACTGGATTTGTTAGCACAATAATTCCCTTTGCTCTCGCTGTGTTTAACAGCACCGTGCATTCTATGTTCTTCTAACCAGCTGCCACTTTCCTGGTTTGAGTCACTTTTTACCTTCTAGTTTGATTAGTTCTTGCTTGTGGGTATTAAAATCAAAACATGCAAGATCTGACAGATCTGTTTTTCACAGGGCTTTCTATCACGTTTAAGATTTGTTGTGATTGAGAGCAATTTGAAATTGCTGTTTATTTTCAAGCTTTTTGCAGAGTTATTTGTGGGAGGAATGCAGTTTATTTTTCTGTGCTGGGGCACGTCTCCATGCCTGAATGCTTAATCCAGCTCACTAATAATAAACAACACATTTCTTACTGCTCAGCAGCCTTATCTTCTACAGTGAATTTGAGAAAGTCTTTTGCAGGTGTCCTGATGAAGGTATTCTGCCATGGCTCATTGCTGGTTTTACTCACTAATATTCTGCCCATACAGCAAATAGTTTTGAGGTAATGCGGATACTGAACAGCATTTGGAAGACAAAATACTTCAACTACTCTTAACAGTATTTGAGTTAGTCACTGCAGACTGCTGCCTGTAAAATAAATGACTGTGGACGCTCTTTTTAAGAAGAAAAAAGTTGTCAAGGGCAATAATAGCAGAAGCTGAAACCACTTGGTGAATTTTCTTTGTCAAGGCTGATGTGAAAATGATGTTTGAAAGGTAGCTGTTGAAGAGTGCTTCAGAGTTCACTGCCAGTAAACAGGAATAGCTTCATGTACTGAAAAGCCTGGATCTGCTGGAAAAACGCCTTGAATGCTGGCCTGTGATTTACCAAATTTACTGTCTGTTAAAATTTACAGTGGAATTTATGTTGCTATGGTTACCAAAGCTTCTCTAGTTCTAGAATGGCAGCGCATCTCATTTCAAAACAGAATCTTTGTTTTTCCTCTCCTTTCACTGTAATCAAATGGAACTTTTAAAAAAATGGTTTTAATTTGCATGACTTGGTAGAACTTGTTGCCATGAGGAATCTGAAAAGCCAGAAATACAGTTGTTGCCAAGACATATGCTTGTGTTTTACAGGACTTTTGAATTAAATCTCATTAGATCTAATAGATCTGTACTGTAGGGCAGAGTTGGCCCTGGGCTGGGAAGAAACGTGCAGCTCACGCGGCCCACCAAGTGTGTGTTAACTTTGAGCTGTAACGGCTGCGGGTCTCTTTTGTGCGCATGCATATCTGTGTTCATCAGCCAGTTGGCCGCTGTGCCCTTGTGCCTGTGTGACTAGCAAATGAAGAAGTTAAGAAGGAATGACTGCAGTGGTGTGGAAATGCCATTATTATTTTGTTGGGGCTTGTTTCCTCTGCAGCTACAGTACTGCCACGGTCATCGCGATGGCCAATTGCCGCAGTGCGCTCACAAATCTGTTGGAAAACAAAACTTGTTGTTTTTATTGTGGAGGAGTGGATGTAAGCCCGCTGGTGAGATCCTGTTTGACAGTTCCTGTGCAGCTTTCCTTCTAGAGCTCAACAAACAACAGTATTAGCAAGGTTATAAAAACAGTACCACATGAAGCAGAGGAAATAAAACCAAAGCATTTTGCTCTGTCATCTGGCTTCCAGGAGCAGTGCCTCTGCCCAGCAGAGGCCAAAGATCGAGTGCTTTTGACACAGTTTGCTTCTGACAGGGATTGTTCCATTTATATTGAGAACAGAAGTTGCACTTAGGTGTTTCCTGACGTGTCCTCTGAGGTTATTATGCAAAGATGGCTCTTTTACTGGGCCGTACCTGTTCTGATTTTTTTTTTTTTTAAGATGTACATTTGTGTTCATATAAATAAGAATTGGAGGGGAAAGTGTTTGCTGAATTAAGTTTATATGCTTTACAGCTGCAAAGCTTTCTCCTTCAAGAAAACAACGTCAGGATACATGATAGCTTTCAGTCAGTTGTGGGTGTGCATATCTGGCCAAGCCATGGTGTTCCTGGGAATGCAGTTCCCCACTCCCTTCCTTGCACCCCTGCCTGTCTGGGTTAGGCTGGCCCAGCTGGAAGGGTATGCTGTGATTCCTTTCAGCCAGCTGCAAGCACAGAGGAGAGGGATGTGGGTCCCCAGTGTACTGCTTGTGGCTGGATTCATCGCTGATCTGTGCAGGCTCCCATCCTTCTGCTGTAAGAGTTCTTGAAAGCTTCCTTAAGGGAAAATGAAAAACAGCCAGTGAAGTGATGTCAACTGCAAGTTCCGTTACAGGTTGGATGGATACATAAAGCCTATGTCTTCTATAAAGCTGTTTATTCTAGATGAAATTTAGAGGTAGGTACTGTACTGACCTTCTGAGGGCTGTGAGGAACCGAGTGAAAGTTGTTTCTTTTAAGTCCTTCTTTGTAAGAGCCTTTATTCTCTGTGCATGTTCTTGAGGTGGAGAAAAGCAGTCAGTATAATTCTCTACAGTGAGAAAGGGATTAAAATGTGAAATGTTAATGTCATGTTGGTTTTCATATCCTCTTTTTTATACTAGGTTGATAGGAACTGGTATTTAAATCCTGTAGGCAGTTTTGAAAACAGTTGAAAATCCTCACAAATTTGCAACAGTCAGGATGGTTCTCGGAAAAATGAAGTGTTTCCAGTATGCACCTTCACACACATTTTTAGGCCCATCCAGTGCATATTTCTGAAAAAGCTTATTTACCAATACAGTGTTTTTTGAAGTTCAGTTTCTTTCCCTTGAATCTGCTGCCTGAAAACATTCTGAGGATTGCAAACATCGTGTGGTTTGGATAAATGAAAGCATCAAATCGCCTGCAGTGCATCTGTGCCCCCTCGCTGTGCAGCCTGGCTGCTTCTGTGCCATCAGCCTGACAATTTCAGTGAGGGTTTCAATGGACCTCGGGGCTTCCCTGGTTTGTGCTCAGGCAGATCCTGGTGCTTCTCTTCCCTTGCAAAGAGAAACTTTATGTTAGCTTCTGGTTTATCTAGGGAAGGACTAATCCTGAACAGTTGCGTCCTTCGAGGAGTTGCAGGTATTATTCTTTCTGACAGTAGGTGGAGACAAAGACCTGATGAATTTTGTCTCCTCAGAAACAGCCGTGCTGTCCGTCCTTCCGATCTCATGCCATTCAACAGGAGGCAAGAGGAATCTGGGATTAGAGAGCCTGAAGGTCTCAACATTTTTTCAGCTCTCAAGGACTGAAGCAGCAGTCAAGTATTTAAATGCAGTGCGATATTTTCCAGTTTTGACCTAAATGCAAAGGTTTACAGAATTACTGAGTAAGAGAATAAATGACAGTAATGATTGAGCATGCAGTCACATGACAGTTCCACTGCTTGATAGATTGCTTCCTTTCATTGGTCTCGCTTAAAGTTACAGTTCGTCAGGTTTCTTCTTTGCTTCTTTATTTTAACAGCATAAATTAATTTAAAATATCAAAGTCTATGTAATAAACTGAGATAGATCACTAACGGATATAAGCTGTTATATTCCTGAGGGTTGTGGCACTGCTTACTGTAAATCCAGCACAATGCATCTACAGCTGGGACTGCTGCCAGGGCCAAGAGCTTTGGAGAATTAAGTCTAATGTATTCATCTGAAATTTGCCAAACTGGGGAAATAGGATTTTGTGAGGAGCCCAGAGCCAAATGGGGATGAGACAAACTGGCTTTATCTGCCTGCCTCTATTCTTTGTCCACCAGGTGATAGTTTATAAAGATGGACTCGAAATGGGTGCTGTGCAAGAGCATCTGCAGTGAGTGCTCCTTTGGAGCATGCTGGCATGGATGACAGCTTTGTCCCCTCCTATTTGTACTCTGTCTACTTACTGAGGCTTTCTTTCTGTTGTTCCTTGAGTCTCAAGGGGAATACGCAGGGTCTGCATTGTATCTTTGCCTGCAACTGTGATCTGGCACTCCAGAAAGAACTGGTGAATGCTTGCACTGCACTACACAGCACAGGAGTTGGAGGAGAGGTGGTTTTGGTGAGATGTGAATGTGGTCATAGGCAAAGTGGAGTTGGCAGAGTCCTCAGGTGCTCGCTCCTTCTGAGTGACAGAAAAGTCAGAGCATTGCCTGGGAACCAAAGGCTCTTGAACAGGTGAATTTTTCCAAGGTTGCCTAACTGTATTTTGCATAAATCTGGCTTCTGGTCCATTGGTTTGTTTAATTTAGGTGAGGGATTAAGCTAAATAACGTGTATTATTTCATTCTGTCTGTTGTCTTTGTGCACATATTCAATGCTTGGCCAGTCTGCTGAGAAACTGTACAAAGATGTAAATCCTGGGCTTTTGAATTCCTATTTGCTGGGAAACGGGCATTAGCAAACGGTGTAGTTTTTCCTGGATATACAACTCTCAGTATGGATGTTTTCTATGTGTAATTAAATGGATAAATATTTCATATAAAAATGTAGAAATGGATCAATATGAATGTCATCCAACGTATTGGTTTTCTGTATATGAATTTCCTTTACGATGCTCTATAAATGCTGTACATAATTTATAAATTGTGTTATTCATACTCCGTGCCAATAGCAAGCAGAGCTGATGAGGAAAAAAGCCATCAAGTTGGTATACTTGGTTATCTTCTCACTTGTTTAAAAGTGTCTTTTGGAATTTAATGACGTGCTATCATTTAGTTTTGTTTTCAAGGAAAGCATTTGGATAATAGCTAGTAAACTTAAAAACTGAATCACAAACTTCAAGAGCTAATGGGCTGAATTACATGACTCAATTCAGAGAGGTATGAGGAGCCACTGAACACGAAACTG